CATGTTCTTAATTTTCATAAAACATTTGTTCTTTAATTTAAGAGCAAATTTGTTTTGTAAATTGCTTCCAAACACGTGTTCTTAAAATTAAGATGGATTTTTTTTACAGTGACAATTACCTATACATAAGCAAAGGAAGGTGAAATCGGCTTTAAATCTCGGCAAGGGCAGAGAAGCGGTAGCAGGGTCAGCCATCTCATATTGTGCTTGGCAGAGATGCTGAGCCGGCGTTGTTTTTAAATGTTGTACGAGCAACAAAAGCACACATTGGTAAATTGCATTCCTTACAAATTTCCGCGGCCGATATGCCCAGGTGAATGACAAAACAAACTTTAGGTAGGGGACCAGGGCCTGAATCATCCTGTTACTGGTCTTGTAGAACTTTCACTCAGGTTCTGAAACTGAGTCAGTCTTCATATAATGAAGGATTGGGTTTGTAACGTACGAAGAATCCGAACACACCATATTACGAACGGAATGTCCCCGTTCTCCTTATTGCGAAGAGCACCACCTAAAAAACAGACACGTGCCGAAGAATTCGGTGTCATTTTGAAGGTTTTCAGGGGTCCGTTACTTAACGCATTAACGTTATGCGTAGATTAACGTGGAACGCATTAGCGTTATGCGTTAGTTATATAAATTAACGTGTTACGCATTAGCGTTATGCGTTAGTTACATAAATTAACGTGTAACGCATTAGCGTTATGCGTTAGTTATATAACGTGACGTTTAACAATTTGCAAAGAAAGTTAAAGTTATGGGTCGTCAAAAATTATTCTGTTGCTGATGGAGCATGTTCCGGCATTTTGAGTCTAACTCTTAAGGAACTTAACATTGAACTACATAGCTGCAGTGAAAATTCTGTTAACGCCGAACTTAATGTCAAGTGAAAGGAATGTTCACTAAAAGGTTCTGCTAAGTTAAGCAAACGTTTACTGTTAAAGTTCGAAGAAGAAAGTTCACGAGAAGTGAAGAAAAGTGCATGGGAAGTTAACTTAAGTTACCTCAAAGTTAAGTAAAAGTATAAGAAATCTACTAGTTTTTCCGACAAAGTTAACTTTTTCCGGAAGTTTTCGGGTACGTTTCGGGACTTTTCTTACACTTAAACTACACTTTTAAAAATACTTTACAGTTAATTTCTAGGGCTGTTTTATTACATCAAAATGTCAACTATCAACTTCACCCACCCCCTTTCCTCCCAAAAAAGATTTTTAATCTTTTATCTTGATTCCCTTTCTTCCCCTTCTTATTCGTATTCTTTCTTGAGATGTTTAGTTGATTATTTCCTCGGCTGCCGGCTGGAGTTGAACCCGGGACCTCGGACCTGTGAACACACACATTAGACCACTCGGCTAATCAGCCGACGTAGTCGTTGGACGTCTCCTGCCGGGGCATATGGCAGAGCCTCCGCAGACCCGTAGTCAATGGCTCAGCATACTTTAAGTGTACTTTTTACGTGTACTTTTGGTGTGGTTTTTGTGTAGTTTTTATAAACCGCGCCAGTGGAATGCATATCCTCGGTAGCTCACCATAGGTTCGTGCATTTCGTTATGCATTGAAGTGTTGCCTCTGTCTCCTTCACATGATTGTGTGCTTTTAGAACGACGTTAAGTTAGGTTTGTCGACTGCAACACACAAACCGTGTGGTCGCCCAGGTTAGGGCCAGACTGCACGCTAGCCTAAGCTAGGCGGGTGATTCCACGATAGAGTGCAAATTCAGTTCTCGGCGGTTAATCTGACAATCACAACCATTTCCCAATAGTTTCTCTGTCTCAAAACCTTCATTGGACTTAAATCTGTCCATTCCCTTGCTTTTTGAGAGATTTCGTATCGAAATTCGACCTAAAAACTAAATTAATATACAGGAAACGTCAACTCCGTCACTGTCCCCAGAGCTGTCACTGCTCACACTTTGTACTTTTGGTATCAATTAGGGCAGTGTCCACTGTTTTTCTGGGGCGCTTATAGTGAAAATGTGTACGCACTATGTAATTCTCTTCACGATACCTGCGTATTCTTGTTAGTTACCTCGTAGTATGCTTCAAAACATATGTGTCTCCGGGATTGGCGTCTTGCGTGACGGAGTTGACATTAGGTGTCAAGACATGGGGTAAGGCGATGGTGTACATTCGAAACAAGGCGAAATTTTGAAAGCGACACTAGTTTTAGGCTGAAACCATCTGTAAAGAAGAGCTGTGATACCCGCACTTCGCCTCCACATCGTTTCTTCTGTTCAGTTTCGGTGCGTATGTTTTTGTGAGTAGCCTCTATTGTAAGAAATTTTGTGAACAAAAAGACATTACCCACAGAAAGTATGAAATATCCGTGTTCCCGAATCAATTTGGTCACCTCTAAGGACATTGAATGTTATTGACTCGAAGTATTTGTGTTTAAAAAATACATTTATTTGGTTGGGGGCGTGACGGAGTTGACGTCAACTCCGTCACACTTCCATTCATTTTTCTAAAAAGCACGTCAAATGCATGTCATGATTAGTAAATGAAAAGATCTCTTTCTGTTACCCCAAAAAATAGTCTCATCTCCTCCCCGGACCGAATGTACAATTTTAAAACCCATTTGAAGCAAAACTATAGAGGCACTCATGACCTCACTTTCTCTGTAAGTTACCTCTCTTGTGGGTTGGTATAGCATATTCATATGTCACTTATTTTGCAGATTCCCATGCATTTATGGATTCAAATAAAAGGGAAAGAGACCGTGAGCGTCAAAGGAGGCGGAGGGGAAGACTGCGTGAAGACCCAAAATTGCTTGAAGCTGCTAGGGGAGGTTTTCAAAATAAGCGACATATTTGGCGTCCTGAAACCTTAACAAAAAAATATTTTTGAGACTTTTTTTTCGGGTGGGGTCTGTTTGGGCCTGTCCCCCGACCACATCCTGAAGATACCAGAGCTCCCACAGCAGAATTCTCAAAAATGTAGGTACCACCCGTGTAAAATCGGTTGTACGGAAGTTACACAGCTGTGCGAAAATCACATAAGTACGGAAGTTACATTTTCATAAAATAGGCAGTTTCAAGCAGATCCTTGGTGATATGAGTACCGGACAAAATCAGATATTTTACGAGGACTACAAATTTCTGGATATCTTAGGGGTCACTCCTGGACAACGAAACGCCTGGTGCAAATCCTTGCAACCACCCCTAGGGGGGTGAAAGGGGGTAACAAAGAAAAAGAGGTTGGTCCAAAATGTAGGAATTTTTGTATGGTCTCCTAAAGAAGTAACTAGTGAAAAAAAGCCCCCCGGACGAAAATTTTGTCCGTGTGACTCTGTCTTGCACCGTTTGGGCGCTAGAATGCTATTTTCGACCAAAATACGGCGAAAATGACTACGTTGCACGTAAAGACGTACAAGGAGGCGTCTAATCGTAAAATGTCAGAGGAAGTACCCCTCCAAAACAACACATTCAGGAAGTACACTCGGATTGGCCGTATCTTTCAGTGTTTCGGCCCTAGAGGTGGATATATATTGAAAACAATGGCAAAAAGTCAAGTTTTAGGACTGTTTGACAAACAATATACAATCTAAAAACTGCGCGGGTTCGTTTTTTTAAATTCTTAAGCAAAGCAGAAGGGTGGGGTGGAGTCACGGTGTCGTCCCGTTACAGTCTCTTTTCATGTCCAAGGAGCAAATTTCTAGGGCCGCAGGCCCCCGCCGGACGTGAGGGCTAACTCCAAAAATTTTTGTACACCGGATTACCAAATTGTAAAGATTACCAAAGATTACCTATGCATAATAGGTATGATCCACCTGCATTCTAAATCGAAACGGCCACTTTTTGTTCCGAGAAAGATGGATTTTTGTGCAACTCTTTGGTAGCTCTTGATTCTTTACCATGCTGTTACAAATTTGCATTCTATGATTGGCCAAATTGTGATTTTGTCATGGGAGGGATGCAAAGATGCCATATTATACATGCGCGTTGGAATTTAGGCAAGATATGAACAAAAATTCATGTCTAAATCAACAAATTTGTCCTTTTAAAGGACCCTCACGAGTATGATGATTACCAGGGATTACCAGTGATTACCAGTGATTACCAAGTCTGTGTACACCTGATTACTGCACAGTTGGGCACCTCTCGGCCGGACGCTTTAGTTTACTCAAATATGCAAAGTGATTTGCCGGTCACATTATTTGTTTGATTATGTACTTCAGTAAATCGCGAGACTGAAATGGTCGGGCCTTCGGCCCGACCATCGCCGCCGGCAGGCCTAGCAGACCTGGCCTCGCCGAACGGAGTTGCCGGCGGAGAGAAGTGGAGCTGGGAACTCCGTTTGGCGGGAGGGCGGGCCTGCTTGTTGTTTGGTCTAACTGCCCAGGTAGCAGAGCTGCATAAAATGTGCATTTTGTGTCCACTGTAAAAAAAGCCCCGAAAACGCGTGTAGGCGCACAATATGCTCGTACGTGCGCCTAAAATGCGCGTTTCAGATGGGACAAAATGCGGTTTGTATGCAGTTTGCTCCATTTTGCTACCTGGGTTGTAGAGCAGCAAAGTTGTATCTGCCCAAGCTCCTAAATTGCACGAAGATGTAACTTGCACTGACAGAAATTGACCATTTAGAGTGAATAAGTATAAAGTGAACCACTACCCACTCAATTTGTTCCGTGTCGATCTTTTTCACCTCCGCAGAGTAAGGTAACTAATTCTAGTTGCGTAAAGAACGAGAAAAAAAGTACAAATTTATTGCAAACAGAAAAATTGCTGGTATTCTAAAAGAAAAAAAATGTCGTTTGCGTTAGTCTGCCTGAGTTACGGCATGGCAACGTGTTTGCGTCAGCTAGAGGTCTTTCGCTAATTTCCGCGGGACTTGTATTATTTTCTCGATTATTTTGCTCCTATTCCGCTTTTTGTCGTGCCTGTTCTGCGCACATACCCCCTCGGCGATACGAGACACGCCTCAGTCTCGTCATACTGAATGAACAACGATGTTCTGCATATTACATTGCTAAGGAAGGTCTGCGGACCTGCGGACAGTTAGTGTGACTTGAAGCTGCCGATACAAAGCTACAAGCAGGACGCTAAGGTGACAGATTGCTGACATCTGCTCGCAACTTTAGTTGTGTTTGTCAGGTGCCACGGGGTAAATGTCTGATATGTTGACTGCACGCGTCTGGCTGTATGTGTGGTATCGTAAGAATCTGGAAATCGCTCCTTCCGAGCCGAGGCATAAAAGTCGCATTTGGCAATTTGACATTAAGAGGCTTCCGTGTAATTAAATTAAATAGACGGAATTTTCACCAAAAAGAAATTGAAGGTTACTGTGGCAGCTCGCGAACAGAATTTGTCGGCTACAAGCGCCATACGCTCTCACGCAAAAAGGTTCATTTGCTTTCTGTTTGCTTTCTGCTCTCCTTTTATTAGTGGGCGCTCCCGCAGGGTACGCGTTTCATGCGCTGCCTGAGCGATTATAGGCACGTCAAAACCTGCATAGTGACACCATTGCCACCTTCTGCCATACCAAAGCGAACGAGGAATATCAAAACCGAGTGACTCAGTCTACTATGCTCAAACAACTCATTCAACACCACAAGGCGAACAATTTTTGGGAGGTCTATTCACTTAGACCCAAGAGTAGACCCGCCTAAAAATGTTAATAATAAAAAAAACCTTTACAGTAATAGATTTAGATAATGGTTTACCTTGACCTTCCAACGTGTCGACCTACTAAATAAAATAGATATCATTGAGACTAGAAATATTCGCGGCAAGAAAAATATTTCTATCCCTGGACTGTCACGCAAGGATCGACAACCTCGCATCGAAGTCAACTGGGGAGAGCGGCTGGAGTACGTCGAGTAAATCCGAAGTGCATCAGTACCACCGAATTTCACCCAACTACAACCGGAGTGCGTCGGGTCACTCTAGAATACACTCGACGAATGTTACTAGTCCCGAATACACTCGTGAGCAGAATCAAAGCCCCAGATATTTGACTCAACGTAATTTCGAAGTGCGGTGAGTGAGAAAGATGCGCTTTGGCAGGAGTTTAGGCTTATTGGCTGAGCGATTAGCGAAGCCCATAACTCCACTGACCGGAAAAGTTTCATTCTGTTTGTCTGTTTGTTTGTCTGTTTGTCTGTCTGTCTGTCCGCACGATAACTCGAGAAAGAATTGAGATAGCGACCTGGGAATTTCAGGGTCGGTTTGTATCATAAAAAGACAGATC